CCATCCAACCACCAGAGAGCACTAGGTCTCTGAGCCAGTTCATGCTAGGACCTCCAGAGTCTTGGCTTCAGCATGAAAACATCCACCAACCCATGGGAGACACCATAGACCAGCAATGGGCAAACTACGGCCCGGCGGACCTTTTAATCCGGCCCGCGGAGCGTGGCAAATATTGGCTGTCAGGATGTAGGCGGGGCAGCGTGACGAACTCCTCTCCTCTCACAGTCCGCCCTGAAGACCGGAACGGCGTGGGAACACGGCGAGAGGAACGCGCGGAGCAAAGGTAAGTGAATTGACACTATATGGGGGATGAATTACTATATGGGGGATGAATTACTATGGGGGATGAATTACTATAGGGGGGATGAATTACTATAGGGGGATGAATTACTATATAGGGGGGATGAATTACTATATGGGGGATGAATTACTATATGGGAATTACTATATGGGGGATGAATTACTATGGGGGATGAATTACTATATGGGGGATGAATTACTATGGGGGATGAATTATATGGGGGGGAATTACTATATGGGGGATGAATTACTATATGGGGGATGAATAACTATGGGGGATGAATTACTATGCTTACTATGGGGGAATATTACTATACTTACTATGGATGGCATGGTAGTGGCTGGGCCGGCCAGCAGCTAGTCCGGCCCCCGGGTCCAATATATGAACCCATTGCGGCCCTCAAGTCAAAAAGTTTGCCCACCCCTGCCATAGACCCTACCAGGATTAAACCCCATCACACAAAGCTACCGCCAATAGGAAGAAGGAAGAGCCAACAAAACCACTAAGAGCTCGTTCACACTGGACTTATTTCTAACTCTTGCCAAACGCCCCTATAGCGATTGACAGGCGTTTGGGAAGCGTTTTAACACTCCTCAAACGCTCCCCAAACACCCTATGTGCGGTTTGAGGTGGTTGATAGGTGTTAAAACCGCACCACAAACACCTATAATGAAGTTAAAAGGTATTAACACTCCGCAAACACCTGAGGAGCAGCAATATAGACTTGAATGGGAGGCTTCAACTCCTCCTGACTCAACATGAGGCGTCAGTTTTGCTGCGACGCTAACGCTTCAGTGTAAACAGCACCGCGTGCTGCCATGTGCAGAATTTTCATAGGCGTTTGAGAAGCGTTAAAAACGCTTCCCAAACGCCTGTCTGATGCCTACTGACAAAGCTAGTGTGAACGTAGCCTAACTTTGTCATGTTAAAGTAGAACTATAGGCAAAGTTTTGTTTTTTTTTTTTCATTTTAGCGGGAGGGTTACAACCTCTATCAGTATATTTTTTGCCATCTGTGTCCCATTGTGGAAATTTCCCATCATTTCCTGTCCCATAGCCAAAACAGGAAGTGAGAGAAAATCCTTGCAAATTAAGGGAGCCCCCCAGGTCACCAGAACGAGTGTCCCCATTGGAAAATTCCCCCTCTATTACATTCTAGGAACAGCCCAAATTTTTTTTTTTTCAATGATAAACAGGATCAATAGAGAGGGTGAATCTCCCTAACGGGGGCACAGGCAGCAATAAACACCTGACGGGGTCTAATCCATCGCCACTCCGTCCAAAACTAAAAATAAAAGTTTTGACTTTAGTTGTACGTCTCCTTTAAGAGGCTGATGGCCAGTTTGGAGAGCCCTGTGCTAGACCAACACAAAGTGACACATAATTGTGAAGTGGAAGGAACATGGGGTATGAATACTTTTTCAAGGCACCGTCTCTTTGTAACTATTGTCAGGGGTGGGTACACATTGCCGGGTCCCACCAATGCAGACTGTGGGGTGACCACAGCTTTAGGCGACAGCGCTGCACACAGGCAGGCTTTGGGATTTGAGCCGCAGCAAAGGCCATTACATCACATCACCAGGAGGTGGCAGGCAAGTGCACCCAAGTCCAAAACACACCCCACAAAGAAGAAGCAGCCATGGATATTAGAAGGTAATGAGCAGTGAAATCAAACACCACGGGGTGCTGTGGGTCCCCAGGAGTGACACCTTCCTGTAGAAACGCAGCGCTAGTCTTGGAAGAACATGGGAGACCTGTGGGTGTAGAAAAGGGTCAGACATATCAAGTGGGAGGGGCTTAGGGTATACACCGACAGCACAGCAACCAACTAGACCGCTTTCTCCCCTGCTGGACTACAGGACAGCTCCCTCTCGCCATACCATAAATGGGAGGCGTTCTGTAGTCTGTATTACTTCTACAACATGAGACACGGGACGACCCCATAAACCAGGTTGCTTTTCATAGAATGCCAATGGAGGTCGATTATTGAGGCCAGCTTTGATGTCGGCAAAGTTGTGTTTTAAAATAGATCTAAACCCGACCTCTGAAATCTCACAGAAGCTTTAAAGTCATTCTAAAGGCAAAATTTATATTTTTAAAAAAAATGCCAAACATGTCATATTTACCTTCATTTTGCATTGAGCAGCCCTGATCCTCCACTTTAGGTCACATGCCAGCGCTCCCGGCTCCTCCCCCCTGAGTGCCCCTATCAAAAGCCGCTTGCTATGGAGGCACTTGGGTGTGCTTGCTCCCTGAGCCGGAATGTGTGTCCATTAACACACAGAGCATGGCTCAGCCCTGCCCCCACTCTCTCCTTACTGGCCGTTATTGACAGCAGCAGGAGCCAATGGTTTGTGATGTCCAATGAGGAGAGAGCGAGCTGCAGCTCTCATGTACATTGCTGGATCGAGATTGAACTCAGGTAAGTACAGGTGCGCTCAAAAGTTTGCATACCCTGGCAGAAATTGTGAAATTTTGGCATTGATATTGAAGATATGACGAATCGTGCCAAAAAATGCTGTTTTATTGAAGGATGATGATCATATGAAGCCATTTATTATCACATAGTTGTTTGGCTCCTTTTTAAATCATAATGAGAACAGAAATCACCCAAATGGCCCAGATCAGAAGTCCCCGCCTCCGGATCAGAAGTCTCCACCCCCCTGGAATGTTCAGCCTTGGTACAGACACACAAGGTGACACACACGGGTTACAATGCCAATTAGAGGTTAATGTCCCACATCTGAGGCTTTTTAAATTGCAATTAGTGTCAGTGTATAAATAGTCAATGCGTTTGTTAGCTCTTACATGGAAGCTCTGACTAGGCTAGATACTGAGCCATGGGGAGCAGAAAAGAACTGTCAAATGTCCTGCGTAACAAGGGAACTTTATAAAGATGGAAAAGGACATAAAATGATGTCCAAAACCTTGAATATGCCAGTCATCACTTCCACTAAGAAGTAGAAAATTCAGAGACCTCTTGATACCAAGCCAAGGTCAGGTAGACCAAGAAAGATTGCAGCCGCAACTGCCAGAAGAATTGTTCGGGATACAAAGAGAAACCAATAGGTAACCACAAGAACAATTCTTCTAATCTTTAAAGTTGTTTCCAAACCTTCTAAATCTACAAATTCCATTGGAAGAATACCTGATGATCCTGCCACAAAGATCTTTGTTCAGGTACTTCCTGTTGTGGGGTGACAACCGTCTCCGAATCGTGCTCCTGTGTTGTCACCCTGTCACATGCACCCCCCAATTGAGAATTCGAGCAGCCATGCTAATACACAGATATCGGTCCACTGCTGTCACTATCAGGATGATGAGCAGCCAACGCGTGACTGAGTGCATGTGGCTGTGAAGTGGCTGAAGGAGATTCGCAGAAAAATAAAAGAATATTTATTGTAAATGATTGCCTATGATACACAGTGCTTTAGCATACTAAAAGTCACCCCGCCAGGGTTTAGATCTATTTTAAGTAAACAGGGGTCGGCAGTGTGAACAGAACTCACGTTTCTTGACAAAGATGAAGATGAAACATCCACAACGTCACTTTATATAGAGATATATATATTTTTACATATATATATATATATATTTTATAAAAAGTCTTAAAATTTCATGGAGGTGTTGAAAACAAAGTAACACTGTCAGGTCAATGACATCCGCTTTGAGGAGTGCTGGAGTATTTGGTAGCTACAGGAAGTTTGGCCAGCAGGGGGAGACAACGCACCTCCTCCCCGATCACCCTGCCGTTTATTCTTCGATCCACCAGGGGGCAGGATGCGCAGAGTAAAAGTCATCAGTCTTTAAACTCCTCCCTTCCAGTTGGACCCTGGCCAAAAAGTTATCACGATTTTTCATCAGAGGGTTGAGAAAAGTCATCACTGTAAACAGAGCCCCGGGCTGTAAGCGACTGGGGCGGTATGAGCAAGTGGATTATGGTATGTACTAAGGCAGCGGAACTTCTGCCCCCTCCCCCAGGTCACCTAATCATCTTCCACACCAGCGAGGAGATCGCCTGTACCCCACAACATTCAGAAAGTGAACAAAAAATGTTAAAAAAAAAAGTAAAATTCCTAAATTGAGTAAAATCGTACCTCCCCCCCATCTCTCCTTTAAATACCCCCAAATGTGTGAGGAGGGGGAGATCAATTCTTATTAATAGCTGACAAGGGGGGGGGGTAACAAAGTCCGTGTAAAGGTTCGCCAGCTAGTTAACCCTTCCGATGCTGGACTGCCAAGTACGGAGCGCAGTTTAGCGTGTGTGTCCCGCGACCTTCCCCCCCCCCTCCTCCTCCCCACTCTAGCCCTTTCCAAGAAGAAAGGCAGTAAATTGCGAGATGGCCACACCCGCTCTCAGAACCCCCGGGGAATTCAGTAGTATTCATGTCCTGAGGTTAAATCCCCCAATACAGTACCTAGCGCCCTCTCTTCTTCAAGGGGGAGGGAGACTGGGCGGGGAGTGAGGTCAAAAAAGCTCCTCCCCCCTCCACGTTCTTCTTAATGCCACAAGAGCAAAAGGATCGCCCGTTGAAAGTTTGTTACACTGCGTGGGACAGGCCCCTGAAGCTGATTGGAGGGAGGGAGAGAGTGGGCGGGGATTTCGTGCTCCAGTTGCCTTCTGCATCCCCCCTCCTCTTGTACATAAAAATGTGCGTTTCAGTTATCTGTGTCCGGAGCCCCGCAGCCCGAGGCCACACCTACGACTCTGAACTGGAGCGAGAAATGTTCTGCAGGAGCGCTTTGTAAATGACTGAGTTGAGGAATCGTGGGTAGGAGTCTCTGTGCATCAAGGTGTATATCTGCAACTGGGCGTCGTCAAAGGTGTGGGGGTTGGGCTCCTGCATCCGCCGGTTGATCACCTCTCTGACTCGAGAATCCAGGCTGACCTGTATTGGGGGGGGGGGGAGGGAGGAGAGGACAAAAGTAAATAAACAAACTGCAGGACCATCACAGCGTAGCACTGCAAATGCAAACAAGAAGATTCAATAAAAGCTGCCAAGATCACCCGTGCTGCCTGGCGACACCACATGAACGAGATCACCGGTGCTGCCCGGCGACACCACATGAACGAGATCACCGGTGCTGCCCGGCGACACCACATGAACGAGATCACCGGTGCTGCCCGGCGACACCACATGAACGAGATCACCGGTGCTGCCCTGCCCGGGCGACACCACATGAACGAGATCACCACCGGTGCTGCCCGGCGACACCACATGAACGAGATCACCGGTGCTGCCCGGCGACACCACAGGAACGAGATCACCAATGCTGCCCGGCGACACCACAGGAACGAGATCACCAATGCTGCCCGGCGACACCACACGAACGAGATCACCGGTGCTGCCCGGCGACACCACACGAACGAGATCACCGGTGCTGCCCGGCGACACCACACGAACGAGATCACCGGTGCTGCCCGGCGACACCACACGAACGAGATCACCGGTGCTGCCCGGCGACACCACACGAACGAGATCACGGTGCTGCCCGGCGACACCACACGAACGAGATCACCGGTGCTGCCCGGCGGAACGATCACCACACATGAACGAGATCACCGGTGCTGCCCGGCGACACCACATGAACGAGATCACCGGTGCTGCCCGGCGACACACCACGAACGAGATCACCGGTGCTGCCCGGCGACACCACACGAACGAGATCACCGGTGCTGCCCGGCGACACACCACGAACGAGATCATGCCCGGCGAACGAGATCATCATCGGTGCTGCCCGGCGACACCACACGAACGAGATCACCGGTGCTGCCCGGCGACACCACACGAACGAGATCATCGGTGCTGCCCGGCGACACCACACGAACGAGATCATCGGTGCTGCCCGGCGTGAACGAGATCACCGGTGCTGCCCGGCGACACCACACGAACGAGATCATCGGTGCTGCCCGGCGACACCACATGAACGAGATCACCGGTGCTGCCCGGCGACACCACATGAACGAGATCATCGGTGCTGCCCGGCGACACCACATGAACGAGATCACCGGTGCTGCCCGGCGACACCACAGGAACGAGATCACCAATGCTGCCCGGCGACACCACACAAAAGAGACTTCAACTATCATCATGGTTGGAGTGTTTGCAAAGCTTTGGTAACAAATATTTCCCCTTCCAGAGGCAGCTGCAAATCAGTGATTTCTCAAAAGTGTGAATGGCAGTTTTATTGATTCCTCCAAGAAAGATCTGCGTTCAGAAACATGCGGGAAAATCACACATCAAGCCTCCAGCACTACAAAGGACTCACCTGCAGCCACGACGTGGACTGTACACCCCCTGCCACAACACCGGAAAGGTTTAGGATCACTTATACATTCCTCCTTCACAAACTACATAGATGTTACAAACACACCCAATGGGACTTGCTTAGTGCCGGCAGGGCGGGGATTTGTAGCTGCGTACCCGCCCCATTGTGAAGATCACCGCCTACTTACTGTCATGCTGCAGGTAAAAACTAAAGGCCCAGTTTATGTTTTTTTTGTTAAATAACAAACATGTCATACTTATCTGGCGTGTGTAATGGTTTTGCACAGAGCAGCCCCCATCTTCTTTTTCATGGGCCCCCCGTTGGCACTCCAGGCCCCTCCTCCCTGCTGAGAGCCTCCTGCATACTCACACCCATGTCCATAAGACACGCAGAGCGCGGCTCAGCTCCACCCCCTTACTCCCGCCTCACTGGCTGTGACTGCCAATGGCTCCCACTCCTATGTTTTAGCCAATGAGGAGAGAGAAAGACCTGAGAGAGCCACTGCTCTCTTGCACAGCTCTGGATCTCAAGATTGGGCTCACGTATGGGGGGGGGGGGGGGGGGGGGGGGGGGGCTGTGGTTGCTGCACACAGATGTTTTTTTTTTTTTACCTTTCATAGTTAGTCTGGCTGAAAAAAGACAAAAGTCCATCCAGGTCAACCATAGAAAAAAAAAAGAAAAGAAAAAAATGATAATCCTACACCCACAGCTGATCCAGAGGAAGGCAGTGTGTTGAGGTAAAGACGTGCAGCTCACCCCTCCGGCACCCCCGTATACTTACCTGGGCCCAATCCCGATCCCCAGCTGTTCACAAGAGCAGCAGCTCTCACTCACCTCATTGGGTGTCACACTGGTGGCCCTCCAGCTGTTGCAGAACTCCAAGTCCCATCATGCCTCTGCCTTTGGGAGTCATGCTTGTAACTGTCAGTCTTGCAATGCCTCATGGGACTTGTAGTTTGGCAACAGCTGGAGGGCCACCAGTTTGACACCCGTGGCTTAGAGACAGCACTGGGAGTCATTGGCTCCCACTGCTGCCAATCACAGTCAGTGAGGAGAGAGCAGGGAGCGGGACCGAGCAATGTTCGGTGTGTCAATGGACGAGCCTGCATAAGTGCCCCCCATAGTAAGCAGCTTGCTATGGGGGCACTCAGCAGAGGGTAAGCACCAGCGGGGGAACCAGAGAAGAGGGAGACCGGGGCTTCTCTGTGCAAAACCATTGCACAGAGCAGGCAAGCATGATGCTTCTTATTTTATAGGAAAAAAACAACTTTGCATTTACAATCACTTAAAAATGGCTGCAGTTAGCCTAATGCCCACAAGAGGACAGTACAATCAAACATATGACACAAGGAAAAAAAATAAAAAGAGGACCACCTTAGAGGATTTAGAAAAGGTTTTCCCGCACTTTTTTAAGCGCGAATTAAGATATTTCCTGCTGCTACTATAAAATGATTGTTATGGGGGTCACCATCGCCTAATTATTTCCCATTATTTTCAATAAAAAGGCATTTTGCAATATTAATAAATCAGTTGAAACCCAATCTAAACATCTGATTTCCAGCTGTTCAAGCAATAACCCCGACAGGACAACAAGTTGTTCTAGAGTCTCCCATAAATTAGTAAAGATTTTGTGACCGAGGTCATAGGTCAATGCCTCTGTCATAGGTCAATGCCTGTGTCATAGGTCAATGCCTCTGTCATAGGTCAATGCCTGTGTCATAGGTCAATGCCTGTCATAGGTCAATGCCTCTGTCATAGGTCAATGCCTGTCATAGGTCAATGCCTCTGTCATAGGTCAATGCCTGTGTCATAGGTCAATGCCTGTGTCATAGGTCAATGCCTCTGTCATAGGTCAATGCCTGTGTCATAGGTCAATGCGACTGTCATAGGCCAATGCCTCTATCATAGGTCAATGCCTGTGTCATAGGTCAATGCCTGTGTCATAGGTCAATGCCTCTGTCATAGGTCAATGCCTGTGTCATAGGTCAATGTGACTATCATAGGTCAATGCCTGTGTCATAGGTCAATGCCTGTGTCATAGGTCAATTCCTGTGTCATAGGTCAATGCCTGTGTCATAGGTCAATGTGACTATCATAGGTCAATGCCTCTGTCATAGGTCAATGCCTGTGTCATAGGTCAATGTGACTATCATAGGTCAATGCCTGTGTCATAGGTCAATGCCTGTATCATAGGTCAATGCCTCTGTCATAGGTCAATTCCTGTGTCATAGGTCAATGCCTGTGTCATAGGTCAATGTGACTGTCATAGGTCAATGCCTGTGTCATAGGTCAATGCTCGGTCATAGGTCAATGCCTGTGTCGTAGGTCAATGCCTGTGTCATAGGTCAATGCCTCTGTCATAAGTCAATGCCTCGGTCATAGGTCAATGCCTGTGTCGTAGGTCAATGCCTGTGTCATAGGTCAATGCCTCTGTCATAGGTCAATGCCTCTGTCGTAAGTCAATGCCTCTGTCGTAGGTCAATGCCTCTGTCGTAGGTCAATGCCTCTGTCATAGGTCAATGCCTCTGTCGTAGGTCAATGCCTCTGTCATAGGTCAATGCCTCTGTCATAGTCTGCCTAAACATGTCTCTGGAACCTGCAAAACTACCATTGTTAGCAGACATCAGCGAGCTGTGTGGCAGCATGAATGGGATGATTTTTAGCTACCCAGCTTGAAGTCACCCATCCCGGTAGTTTAGGCAGAAGGGGCAGGACATCGGTTTTGGGGTGGGGGGTTGGATTCTGGGTGCGGCTGCGTTTACCTCCTTTGGAGACAAGATGGAGATGTAATCCTCATAGATCATGCGTGCCTTCTCTTCCACACAATGCTTGCTGTTGTCCTTCTTTAGCTCCTCGCAGGCCAGCCAGAAGAGCATGTTCTCCTCGCTGTACTCGGTGCGCAAAAACTCACGGAACACATTGCGCCCGGCGGGATTCTTCATCAGCTTCTCGAAGGAGTGGGACCAGCTGTATAACTCTTCTGAGGACGGCTTTGTGCTAAAATGACAGATAGAGGTGTGAAAAAAACACAGCTTGTAAACTAGAGCCCAGTTCTGACCATTTAAAGAAACACTCCGCTCAGTACAGATTAATGTTCACAAACAGTGTTGGATTCTTCACTATAACATGAAGCAAGAGTCCCTCTTCTGTGGCTGCAAATACTTCCCTGCAGGGGTCACGGCTCTTCCTGAACTCTACCTGGCCTTCCTCATGCTCTCCTAACTTCTGCCCCATTTACCTACTGATGATTTATGTTTGGCACAGAACTTCATCACAGGTATTTGACACGAATTAGCTCCTTTTGACAATTTCATCGCATGTGATTTTTAACATCATGCCGTTGTTGCCACTGACACCTCTGTGATGATATTGCCTAGACCCCTTGTGACAGGAGTCACTTTGGGTGGGGGGCCCATGGAACACAGATCACTTTGGAGAGGTGGGGAGACCCCTGTCTCAGCTCCCCATATCCCTCTTATGTGTAAGTCACCCTGTGCCTGTTAGGGGTACAGGGTGATCTGTGCTAATATTGGGGGGGGGGGGGGGTGGGGAGTTGTGGATTGTTTAATGCCATGTGGTTGCATCCCATTGTTCTATTGTGTGTCTTGCTTGGGAGCAAACTATTATGGGATGTATGTGTTTATGTGTATTGGATTGGTGGGGGGTGTATGCGGCAGCCCTCCTGATGGGACTGTCTGCTGATGTGTCTCTTGTTACTAAATGTAGATTGCCCCGCCATGTGTCATTATGCGGGGGGGGGGGGGGGATTGTTCCCTTGAATATATATATCTTGTACCTGTGTTAAAATAAAGTAGTCTATTTCCTGTTTACGTCAAGACTGGTGTCGTCTAGTCTTGTATGGTCAGCGGTGGTGTCCGTGGTCGGTGTTCGGACTGGGAAGAGGTATTATAACGGCAATACCCAAGTGCAGGCTGGGACAGTTCCGTTACACCCCTGTACAGGGTCTAGGCATGTTCAAGCATTAGGCTGAGGTTAGGCTTACAGGCAAGTGTTAGCCTAAAGGGTTGGATTGTATGTAAAGCTGAAACTTTTTTTTTTTTTTTTTTTTTGAGGTGTTAAAACCCAACAGTTTTTATTTTTTCAGCTGTTCATATCCTGTTCGGAAGATTTTCACTTCCTGTCCCTGAGATGTAACAGGAAGAGGAAATTTCTACTTGGTGGGGGATTCCCCTCTTAGGCAGTTGTCAGCAGAACTGGTGTCCCTACCAATTCAGCATATCAAATAAATATGCTGAATTGGTAGGATTAGAGCATGAGGAAAAGAGAGAATATATATAAAAAAGATGGGGATCGGGAGGCAGGATGATAGGGATGAGAAGAGGGAGATCTTGAGAATAATAAAAGAAGAGAAGGACCTGGGGAAAATAAGGGAAAAGAAATGGGTGGGTGAATAGGACTGGGATTGGGTAGTGGGATTTTGGGTGTAACGAGTGTAAGGAATTTTTTTTTCTTTGGTTGTATTGTTGAATAATGTGATAATGGATTTTTTTTGTAATATTGAGATTATGAAATCAATAAAAAATATATAAAGAAAAAAAAAAGAACTGGTGTCCCTATCAGAAAACTGAACTTTAAAGTTAAGGATTTACAATCACTTTCTGTGTCAGGGATAGTGGTTACCAGGATTCCTGCAGAGGATCTCTGTAATGGGGCTAGAGCCCACAATCAGAACCTTACAGGGGCTCTAACCCTTCTAGACTCCATACACGTTAAATGTTTAAAGTGATACTAAAGGTAAATGTTTTTTTGAAATATCAAAAATGTCATACTTACCTCTGTGTCATGGTTTTGCACAGAGAAGCCCCTGCCGGCACTCCCGACTCTTCCTCCCTGAGTGTCCCGATAGCAAGCCATTTGACACACAGAGCACAGCTCAGTCCCCGCTCCCCCTCACTGACTGTGATTGACAGCAGCTGGAGCTAATGACTCTCACAGCCAATGAGGAGGGAGCGAGGCAGGAGAGCAGCTGCACTCATGTAAATCACTGGATTGAGACTGACAACAGGTAAGTATTGGGGTGGGGAAGCTGGGTGGATGCATAGAATGCAAGACGGTGAAAAAACCCTTTCAGCCTTAGTGACTGATGATTCAGTATGCACTGAGAACACCTACCCGTGTGAGGAGCTCTCTGTAATCTGCCTACAGGAGATTACACAGAACTCAAGACTAATGCAGTCATTTTCTGGATAACATTGTCACATAATTTCTTTTTAAAATGTTGCCTGGAGCAGCACCCTGAACTCCGATGTCACTTCCACAGAAGGGGTCGCACTTACCAGACCTCACAGTGAGGGACGATCTCCAACTTGGTGTCTCGAGACAGCCTCCGAAGTCTATTGCGGTCTTCATTCCTGGTCGCAGTGGACAGATAGACAACACATTACTTCATACGTTAAAACAGCCACACCGCTTTCACATTGTTAGTATGGACAATATACAGAACAATAGAGATGTGCAGTGACCCAGAGTACAGAAGTCATTGCAATGAATGATGAATTCAGATCTGACTCTGGGTGACGGCACGTCTGTACCCTTTATTAAAGGAATACAAAACATTAGGAATGCTCTTTTCCTAGGTTCAGCAATGAGCAATCAGCAGAGCCTGGGGGGTGTAAAGAAAAGTCGCAGAATCATTTGCCAGCATCACAGTTGCCATCTGTCCTCAATAAGAAGCTTGCAGCAGTTGGTCTGATGAAGTCACTGGTTGATATTTAGGTTTGAAGGGATCTTTGTTTTACACATAAGCATTCATGGTATATAAACAGCTTTTTTTCTTCTAATTAAATAGGGAATGGTTTAAAACCCGCCAGGTTTTCTTTTTAGATATCTGTGTCACATTGGGGAGATTTATCTTCACTTCTTGTCCTGTACACAAAATGCAGGCTATTTACTAAAGCTAGAGAGTGCAAAATCTGGTGCAGCTCTACAACACAGCCAATCAGCTTCCAGGTTTTATTATCAAAACTTAACTGAACCAGCTAAAGTTAGACGCTGTGACGGGAGTCACTTTGGGTGGGGGGCCCATGGCCCAGCTCAATTTGGAGAGGTGGGGAGACCCCTGTCTCAGCTCCCCATATCCCGCTTATGTGTAAGTCACCCTGTGCCTGTTAGGGGTACAGGGTGATCTGTCCTTATATTGTGTAGACATGTATAGGTGGGGTGGGGGTTGTGGATTGTTTGGTGTTGTATGGCTGCATCCCATTGTTCTATTGTGTGTCTTCCTAGGGAGCAAACTATTATGGGATGTATGTGTTTATGTGTATTGGCTTGGTGGGGGTGTCTCCAGCAGCCCTCCCTCCTGAAGGGACTGTCTGCTGGTGTGTCTCTTGTTACTAAATGTAGATTTCCCCGCCCTGTATCATTATGCAGGGAGGGGGGTTGTTCCCTTGAATGTATATATCTTGTATCTGTGTTAAAATAAACTAGTCTACTTCCTGGTTTGACTGGTGTCATCTAGTCTTGTACGGTCTGCTGTGGTGTCTGTTGTCTGTGTTCGGATGGGGAAGCGGGAGTCTAACGGATGTACCCAAGCGCAGTCTGGGGTCGGTTCCATTACAGACACTGATTCACTACCATGCACAGCTGCACCAGATTCTGAGTGCCCTAGTTTTAGTAAATCAACCCCAATGGTAAATGAAAGGAAATCTTTTTACCCAAAACTGTCATCAAATGAGACTGAAACAACCACCTGGTGGAACTTGGAGAACATTTGAACAGAAGACCAAGTGGCGTTGCTGTAGATCTGTGAAACATTTGCCTGATGCATAAAATCCCCAAAACCAAATCACAGCTCTAGTAGAGTGCGTTTTAACAGGAACGGTTGAACCCCATCCTTGACACCATAAACTTCAATAATGGTCTAGCTGAGCCACCTAGAGATAGTGAAATGAGAAGCCAGTGCACCCTATCGGGTCCATCCAGGATGGCAACAAGGAATCAGTCTTTCTGGAGGAAGCAGTGTCCTTGCAATAGACATCTCACAGCCGGATAATGCAGGGAAGAGTCCTTTTGCTAAACTAGAGCCAGACAGAGGGATGAACTCATGTCTTGGTTGAGGTGAAGAGTTGGCCAGAAAGTTTGGTGCATCTGGACTCGACTCAGCCAGAATAATCCTTCCTCGGGGAGAAGGCACACTCTGGCCTTAGTTGTGTTCAAGACTAGAATTATACTGAAAACAATGAATCGGTTTGGGGAACGATTTGTGAAGGTTCAGGATCTAGCCGAACCACTGTAATGTCTGACAGAGCCAGCACCGACTGTTCCCTCAACAGGAGGTTGACTAAATATCCCACAATGGAGATGCAATTAGGTCCCATGTACACGGGACACTTCTGAACTATAGAAAATGCTGGAAAACGTAGGTTAAAAAACATCTGTTTAGCTGCGTTTACATAATGCGTTTATGTGCGTTTGCGTTTAGAAGTGTTTTTTAAAGATAAGCACAGGAGAACCTCCCAATTGCCCAGAATGCACTGAAAAGTGGTAAATTATTAACGAATTCAGACTGTTTCAGAGAAATACAGAGAGTAGAAGAAGAGACAGCAGTACGTGTTGAGATTAGCTTAGGTGTGAGTTGCTCATTAACATTTCTTTTGTTTCTAAGGGTGGGAAAGGTGTCTGGTGGAGGGAGTCATTAAGGCCTCCTGGCAGGGCGTCTTCATGAGGAATTTGAGGTGTGAATGGTCATTAACATATCTTTTGTTTCCAAGGGTGGGAGAAGTCTGAGGCGTGAATTGGTCATTTCAATGTGTGACAAGCTTGGTAGGAACATCCTGTGTTCAGTGTTTTGTCCATCTGAGCACCTTGAAAACGCTTTGCATGCATTCTTCATGATGAAAAAAGGCTCTGGTCAGCATCGGGAACTGGAAGAGTTAATAAAAATTTTCAAACGCAAATGCTTGTAAACGCGATTTGCCGCATTTACAAGCATTTTGCATTTGAGACGCTAATAAAATCAACTGCTGAATGCAAGTTTTCTGCATTCAAAAAAACGACTGTAAACTCAAATGCCTGTAAACGACTGTAAACGAAGATGTGTACATGGACACATAGGAAAACATTAGGGAGAGTTCAGGGGCTGCTGAAAAAATGCTGAACAGCTCCTGAACGTGCGTTTATCAGCTGCAGTGTACATGAGCCTTAGAGTGCAGCAGGAAAAAATACTGAAGTCAACACTTTAGAGAATATCCAAGGTCCAGAGGACAGCCCGAATGGCAGGGTCAGAAAATAGTAATGCAGGGGGGCTCATGGCAAGGTGTAGGAACACCTCATGTTCAGGGACATAAAAGTAAGCTGCCCTGAGTCCACAGGAGCCAGAATGTCTCGCTGGTGAAAAAAAGGAATTGACAGCTTGAGGTGAGAAACTGAAGAACAGCAAAACAGTTTGTATCCCTGGGATCCCATCTCCTGCATCCAAGAATCTGAGATGCACACTGCCCACGCATTTGTAAAGGTTAACATACTGTATGTCACCACGGGCACACCTTCATGCCATGGAAGTCTTGTCTGAGGGTCTGGCAGACTTCAAGTATCAGACTCTGCAGAGGGACCGGGAGACAAGTTTGGGGGATCATGACAGGGAAGTCAAGGGAGTGGAGAAACAAAAAGGGAGAAGACTCTGCAGAGGGACCGGGAGACAAGTTTGGGGGATCATGACACGGAAGTCAAGGGGAGTGGAGAAACAAAAAGGGAGAAGACTTTGCAGTCTGTCCCGTATGCTCCTTCTGCAGAGGAAGAGGGGTGTTATTACCACCAGTGAGTATCATTGATAATAACAAAAGCAGACCCAGAAAGACAATGTCCCTCAAAGGCCATGCAGATAAGACATCTCTTTTAGAGATTTCTTTTATTAATGGATTCTGACCAGTCTGACAGAATAAAGTCACAGCCAGGATCAGGTGAAGGTAGGACCCACCAGAAAGGGAGAGAAAAGGGCCTGGAAAGGGCTATATGTGACGTCATAACAAAATGTCTTATAATGGAGTCATATGGTCTTGTATGTAAATTGCAAACTATTCATTTTTTTTTGCCATAATAAAGACAGAAAGTTTGTACAAAACCACAACACATTCCCTTTAAAGTGACCTTTACGTCCTAGCTGACAAAAGAGGTCAGAGCTGTGAAATGTTTTATAAAAGATGATGTATTACTTCTCCTGCTCCCTGTACTCCTCCTGAGCACTATGATTTCCTAGGCCTTGAAAGAAGGACATGAGGCAACTGGGATCTTTTTAAAGCTATAAGATGTATAAGTGGAAAAAGCCAGCTTAAATGAAGGAATCTCCATCAGTATGTGTTCCTGGTAACACCTTCTGTCTATAGTCAGTTTATTATATACGAGTGGCATCCAAGTCAAACCGGGACTTTTCATTTTCCAGGTATTAAAAGAGATGCTAGCGTGGGCGGTACTACACGCAGTAGTAAGTGTCAAGTGTGTCCTATTACTGATAGGCACCACACATGTCCCAGGGCAGTGCAGAGAAAGTTAATCAAGATGGGCAGCACAGTGGCTAAATGGTCAGCATTTCCACCTGGCAGTAATAAGGTCGTTGGTTTGAACCCCAGCCACGGCACCACCTGCCTGAAGTTTGCATGTTCTCCTTGTGCCTCCGTGGTTTTCCTCCCACACTCCAAAGACATGCTGGTAGGTTAATTGGCCCTTTCTAAATTGGCCCTAGTATATGTATGTATGAATGTGAGTTAGGGACCTTAGATTGTACACCCCTTGAGGGTTAGGGACCTTAGATTGTACGCCCCTTGAGGGGGTATGTAATCGCTGCGTAAATTGATGGCCTTAGATTGTACCCCCCTTGAGGGTTAGGGACCTTAGCTTGTACGCCCCTTGAGGGTTAGGGACCTTAGATTGTACGCCCCTTGAGGGTTAGGGACCTTAGATTGTACGCCCCTTGAGGGTTAGGGACCTTTAGATTGTACGCCCCTTGAGGGTTAGGGACCTTAGATTGTACGCCCCTTGAGGGTTAGGGACCTTAGATTGTACGCCCCTTGAGGGTTAGGGACCTTAGATTGTACCCCCCTTGAGGGTTAGGGACCTTAGATTGTACGCCCCTTGAGGGTTAGGGACCTTAGATTGTACCCCCCTTGAGGGTTAGGGACCTTAGATTGTACCCTCAAGGGGGGTACAATCTAAGGTCCCTAACCCTCAAGGGGGGGTACAATCTAAGGTCCCTAACCCTCAAGGGGGGTACAATCTAAGGTCCCTAACCCTCAAGGGGGGTACAATCTAAGGTCCCTAACCCTCAAGGGGGGTACAATCTAAGGTCCCTAACCCTCAAGGGGGTACAATCTAAGGTCTCTAACCCTCAAGGGGCGTACAATCTAAGGTCCCTAACCCTCAAGGGGGGTACAATCTAAGGTCCCTAACCCTCAAGGGGGGTACAATCTAAGGTCCCTAACTCACATTCATACATACAGATACTAGGGCCAATTTAGACAGGATCCAATTAACCTACCAGCATGTCTTTGGAGTGTGGGAGGAAACCGGAGTACCCGGAGGAAACCCACGCAGGCACAGGGAGAACATGCAAACTCCAGGCAGGTGGTGCCGTGGTTGGGATTCGAACCAACGACCCCAGTACTGCCAGGCATAAGTGCTAACCATTTAGCCACTGTGCTGCCCTATGTACATTCACTTATTTCGCATGCAGGCAGTGCTGCACAATGACCATGTCATGCTGATCCTCTTATACCACCACAGCAAGTCTACCAGACAGGACAACAAAATTCTCTGCAGTATTTAATAATGTGACACCTCCACAGTGCTCTTGGTAGCCATACACCATGATGTGAAGGATGCGAAAGGTTTAGGTCACATGACAGAGGTAGGGATCAGCAGTTTATGATCATAGCAAGAAGAGGAGGATTTACTAAAATGGGTGCGCTCAGAATCTGGTGTGGGTGTGCATGGCAGTCAATCGGCTTCTTATTCAGCTCGTTCAAATATTTACGTGACTTTGCGCAGCCCTGCCGCCCTGTAGCAGTACGTCTGCTATAGGGCGGCGGGAAAGTGGTTAAGCTTCAACAATAAAACCTGGAAGCTGATTGGTTTCTAATGCAGAACTGCACCGGATTTTGCCCTTCCCAGTTTTAGTAAATCCCCCTCATAATGGGATTTGGTAATGTTGACATTGAATTGTATTAATCAGTCCACTTTAGGAATCCAAAGCACACGTTCATCCTTTCAGTTTATAGTAACGGCATATATATAATGTTAGCCATGCCGGCTCGGGAACGTACCAGGAACAGCTGCAGCAGCAACACCAGCAGAGGCAGCAGGGGTTGGTCCGGTGGTTCCGGGTTGGCTGGGTCCTGTCATACCGTGACATGGGAGACTCACTGGGGTCAGGCCCTGTGTACTGAGAAAGCAGAAGAGATACATTAGCGGCACAGGGCTACAGGTGGGAGCCTATGACATCACTGCGGCAGATGACATAATTATAAAAAAAAAAAAAGGAAAAAAAGTACATTTTTTTTCTCTCTATTTATCTGGTTTCTTTTCAGGAAACATCTAGTCAGGCGCAGGGCGCTTCCACACAACAGCTTCCAACTGAAGGGAACTTTCAACCTTCTCATCTGACACAGACGCATTCTCCTGCCACCCGACACACGCTGCCATTACCTTCCTTCATTCTGGTTTTAGTTCTGTTGTCATGGGATACGACGCAAAAACATCTTGTAAAGGGACAGGAAAGTCCTAGCCAGGGGCAGGGAAGGACGGCCACGGGTTTCAGAGGGTGCTCAGATTAGCATTTATGATGCCCTCAAGCAGACAAATGTTTTGTACAATTGAATGTCTATGTAAAGTCAACAGGGAAAGGAGCTGACCCCGACTGTCCTGCTTACTGACACCTCTTACCACACCGACAACTACCCAGAAACCTTCAAAGCCTCAACTGGCCCTTGCTGCCTCCATCTTCTCGCTGACTCCATCTGCCCTCGCTGCCTCCATCTGCCCTCATTGCCTCCATCTTTTCGCTGCCTCCATCTGCTCTCGCTGCCTCCATCTGCCCTCGCTGTCTCCATCTGCCCTCGTTGCCTCCATCTTCTCGCTGCCTCCATCTGCCCTCACTGCCTCCATCTTTTCGCTGCCTCCATCTGCCCTCACTGCCTGCCTCCATCTTCTTGCTGCCTCCATCTTCTCGCTGCCTCCATCTGCCCTCGCTGCCTCCATCTTTCTCATTGCCTCCATTGCCTGCCCATCTTCTCTCGCTGCCTCCATCTTTTTTGCCTCTTGCTCACTGCCTCCATCTTTTTGCTGCCTCTGTCTGCCCCCTCACTGCCTCCATCATCTTCTTGCTGCCTCCATCTGCCCTCGCTGCCTCCATCTGCCCTCGCTGCCTCCATCTTCTCTTGCTACAGTATTTTTTTTACCTAGCCAGTAATGTAATAAGCACCCTCCTCTGTTCGAATCCTACAAAAAGCAGAAGTTGTCACAAAGCCACGGGGTTCACATTGCACCACATTCCAGGCATTCAGCTAAAAATGTACACAAAATACTGATAATCTGTACTTGATACAATATTACATTACTGTAATGGAAGACCACGACTGTGGAGTAGATATTGATGAACTAACTCCCTCTTTTTCAGCCATTACAGAGGGCCACGGGGGTGGGGGGGGGGGGGGGGTGTGGGGTTGTGGGGGATGTGGTGGGTGCTGGGGGGGGTGGGGGGGGGGGGGGGGGGGGGTGGGGGGGGGGTGGGGGGGTATGGGGGTTGGGTGGGGTTGTGGGGGGGGTGGGGTGGGGGTGTGGGGGGGTGGGTGATGGGTAGGGGGGGGGGTTGTGTGGGGGGGGTGGGGGGTGGGTGGTGGTGGGTGGGGGGGGGTGGGGGGGGGGGGGGGTGGGGTTGGTGTGGTGGGTGGGGGGTGTGGGGGGGGGGGGGGGGGGGGGGGGGGGGGGGTTGTGGGGGGGTTTGGGGTGGGTGTGGGTTTGGGGTGGGGGGGGGGGGGTGGGGGGGGGTTGGGGGGGGGGTGGGGGGTTGTGTGGGGGGGGGGGGGGGGGGGGTTTGGGGGGGTGGTGTGGGTGTGGGGGTGGGTGTGGGGGGGGGGGGGGGGGGGGTGGTGGGGGGGTGGTGGGGGGGGGGGGGTTGGTGGGGTTTGTGGGGGGGGGGGGGGGTTTGGGTGGGGGGGTGGGGGGGGGGGGGTTGTGGGGGTGGGGGGGGGGGGGGGGGGTTTTTGGGGTGGGGGGGTTGGGGGGGGGTGTGGGGGGGGGGGGGGTGGTAGTGGTTGGGTGGGGTGGGTGGTGGGGGTTGGGGGGGGGTTGGGGGGGGGTGTGGGGGGGGGTGTGGGGGGTGTGGGGGGTGGGTTTGGTTTGGGGGGGTGGGGGTGGGGTGGTGGGGGGGGGGGGGGGGTTGGGTGGTGGGTGTGTGGGGGGGGTGGAGTGGGGGTGTGGGGTGGGTGGGTGGGGGGGGTGGTTGTGGTGGGGGGTGGGGTGGGGTTGGGGGGTGGGTGGGGGGGTGGGGTGGGGGTTGGGGGGTTGGGGTGGGGGGGGTTGGGTGTGGGGTGGGGGGGTGGGGGGGTTGGTGGGGTGTGGGGTGGGGGTGTGGGGTGTGGTGGTGGTGGGGGGGGTGTGGTGGGTGTGGTGGGGTATTTGGGTTGGGTTGTGGTTGGGGGGGGTGGGGTGGGGGGTGTTTGGGGGGTTGGGTGTGGGTGGTGTGTGGGATGGGGGGTGTGGTGGGGTGTTTTTGTGGTGATGGGCAGTTCATCGACTGTTAAACTGATTCACCGCAATTATAAAACACATTCAACGACTTCTGTGGAAGGTTTTCAAGTCTAATCCCCATTTGCATAGCCCTTTCCTCACTATAAATAGGGTGAATTTCAGGGGCAGGGGCAGCAAACAGACAGCGAATGCTGGCAGACCCAGACTCCGGCACGCGGATCCTTGGAGGATTTAACGGTTTTTTGTGCCCCTATATGACTTCTTCCAGCAAGGCGCTTGACCTGAGCATCACCAGAGATTATCTGCAGCGTAGGGTGAAGCAAAGGCGAGATAAACGTTACTGGTTGATGGAAGCCAGTACAGACAGCAGCTATTTAAAGCTGATCTCTTTATAGGAAAAAGAAAATGTCTTTTCGCTCTGCAAAAGTAAAAAAATAAAATAAAAAGACAAAAGAGTCAATATATAGCGTAGGCTTGGTTACTCTGAGACTTGTAGTTCTACCATGACTAGAAGTTAGATGGACTATCCAGTTTAAATGACAGCTACAAGAAAAATATATTTCCTGCTTTGACGACCTCCGGACTCCTGGATGGGTGCCTTGTGGCAGACCAATGCGTGGCCCCCTTTGTTTAAACCTGGTGGGCCTTTTAAAGTGGGCATCCGTATGGATTTTTAAATTCAAGATAAACCAACCAGAACACAACCCCCACACATAAATAATGAACAGAGAGTACTCACGATGTCCCACAACAAGGAACTGATGATGTCCCACGCAGACTGCAGTTATTTTACCTGTGACCTAATCTGTGATCTATGCAAACTTTCTCCGCTGATCCTCACCAATTGGGGAAAGGAACCCTTGTACCATCCAACACCCGGCACTGCTCATTTCCATGCCACATTCTGTTATCATTTGCAAGAGTAAATATTAAAGGGGAACTCCATTTCATTAATCAGATACGGCATATTGTTGCCATTTCTGTACTTGCATTTAAATTGACCTTTTCACTTCCATCTACGGTTTTCCAAAACAGCTGAGCAATTCAAATATTGTTCCCTTCCAACCATGGCAAAGGACTTGTATTTATTTATTTCAGGTACTTCTATATCACCGTCAATTTACGCAGCGGTTTACATATCTATTGTACATTCACATCAGTCCCTAACCCTCAAGGGACGTACAATCTAAGTCCCTAACCCTCAAGGGGCGCACAATCTAAGGTCCCTAACCCTCAAGGGGTGTACAATCTAAGGTCCCTAACCCTCAAGGGACGTACAATCTAAGGTCCCTAACCCTCAAGGGACATACAATCTAAGGTCCCTAACCCTCAAGGGGCGTACAATCTAAGGTCCCTAACCCTCAAGGGGCGTACAATCTAAGGTCCCTAACCCTCAAGGGGCGTACAATCTAAGGTCCCTAACCCTCAAGGGACGTACAATCTAAGGTCCCTAACCCTCAAGGGACGCACAATCTAAGGTCCCTAACCCTCAAGGGGCGTACAATCTAAGGTCCCTAACCCTCAAGGGGCGTACAATCTAAGGTCCCTAACCCTCAAGGGGGCGTACAATCTAAGGTCCCTAACCCTCAAGGGGACGTACAATCTAAGGTCCCTAACCCTCAAGGGGCGTACAATCTAAGGTCCCTAACCCTCAAGGGACGTACAATCTAAGGTCCCTAACCCTCAAGGGACGTACAATCTAAGGTCCCTAACCCTCAAGGGACGTACAATCTAAGGTCCCTAACCCTCAAGGGACGTACAATCTAAGGTCCCTAACCCTCAAGGGACGTACAATCTAAGGTCCCTAACCCTCAAGGGGGGCGTACCATCTAAGGTCCCTAAACCCTCAAGGGACGTACAATCTAAAGTCCCTAACCCTCAAGGGGCGTACAATCTAAGGTCCCTAACCGTCAAAGGGGGCGTACAATCTAAGGTCCCTAACCATCAGTGGGGCATGGTTGGGATTAAGGTCCCTAACCCTCAAGGGGCGTACAATCTAAGGTCCCTAACCCTTCAAAGGGTGTACAATCTAAGGTCCCTAACCCTCAAGGGGTGTACAATCTAAGGTCCCTAACCCTCAAGGGGCGTACAATCTAAGGTCCCGAACTCAAATTCATACATACACATACTAGGGCCAATTTAGACAGGAACCAATTCACCGCTCTTCGCTGGTTCTTCGCTGGTCTTCGGGTTCCCGGTCCCGGCGTGTTAACTGTGGGCAGCTGGCTGTGATTCTTTGCAGCTTCACACCTGGCTTCCCACTGCGCATGCACGAGCCACGCTTTGTGAATTGTCCCGGAAGGTTGCCGGAAACGAGGGAGAGAAGAGAACTTCCGATGGATTCACTGCAGTGGATCTGACTGGAAGTGGGAATGAGTACCTGTCAAAACCAGGTACCCGCTACCCCCACCTCCTCTACCCTAAAAATTGCCAAAAATAGAAGAGGTGGGGGGAAGAGGGCTTAAAACTGAACTTCCCCTTTAGGGTGAAGTTCCGCGTAAAAGCTGGCCTTCGAAGGATCGAAATTTGGATGGTTCAGCAGGAATTGGCCGAATTTCAATCTATCTATGGGCAGGCTGGTTGTACTGAAGTCATTTTATCGATCAAATTCAGTACAACCAGTCTTCGGGTTTTTTTATTTTTGTATGATCACTGCCGCTGGCTATAGCCGGCACCAGTGATCATTGTTATGGGATGGTGAGGAAACCTTC